CTGATTTAGTTGAAGACAAACTTGTGGATGTAGAAGTAAAGTCCATGACTGAGGTTGAAGATAAAAAGATAAGACAGCTGAACCAGTGGTTGCTACATCCTTGTATCAGGAGGCTACATCTATTCCTAAAGCAGCTATTGATCTGATTAATGATAGGCTGACCCCGCTAACTGAGAGGCTGGCTAATGAGAAGGAGACTATTTATTTGTGTTAGCATCAGAGAGGCTAGCAACTAGCATGGATAAGCTGGCATTAACATYGGAGAGGCTTGCGATTAGCATGAATAAGTTGGTGTTAGCATGGGAGAGGCTTGTGACTAGCATGGCTAAGCGGGCGTTAGCATTGGAGAGGCTAGTGACTAGCATGAATAAGTTGGTGTTAGCATGGGAGAGGCTAGCGACTAGCATGGATAAGCTGGCATTAGCATTGAAGAGGCTAGTGACTAGCATGGATAAGCTGGCATTAGCATTGAAGAGGCTAGGGACTAGCATACTTAGGCTGCTCACCTACTTTATTAGACACAAACTTTTTTAATGCAGGTTCAGCCTTGGAGAAATGTTGAGGATCTTCATCATCCAGAAGGAACTGGTAGTAGAGCTGCTCCTCCTCCTCATTTAAAGGAGTCAGCTGAGGAGGCCTCAGGCTGATGGTTTTATGTGTTTCTATAGGTTGGCAGCACCGTGCCTCAGGTGGTAGAGCTGCTGCCTTTTAGCAAGAAGGTTGCCAGATCCAATCCCAAAAACATTCATGTTATTCTGATTGGTAACTCTAAATTGTCCTTTGTGTTTGTCTCATTTGTCTCTAAGTGCCGATGGACGTGTGACCTGTCCAGTGGACCCCTCCCCCAGTGACCCCATGACCCTGCAAGGGATGGATGACTGAGGCAGCCATCATGAACCGGACTGACTCAAGAAGTTAATTAGATGTAGATGTACACCCTATTATTAGTTTCTGAAAGTTTCATTCAAATCTACGGAAGCGTAGAGCTGTCACATGGCATAAAATTATTTTTAA